TGATATTAATATTATTATATAAAGTCACGTAGAAGGGGAATAATAAAATAGTATATTAATATTTTATAGTCACGTAGAAGGGTAATAATAAAATAATATAATATTTTTATTATATAAAGTCAGGTAGAAGGGAAATAATAAAATATATTAATATTATATAAAGTCATGTAGAAGGGAAATAATAAAATAGTATCAATATAATATTAGGGAAATAATAAAATAATATTGATATAATATTGATGTAATATTTTTTATTATTTCCCTTCTACGTGACTTTACCGATAAAACCAAGAAGATGATCTTCTGCGCTACACGAGGGGGTGGGTGGCCAGCACCACACCCGACCACCTTGGTCTCCCTAATGGCGATGTTCACATACCCGCGCCGGGTACTCGTTTCATGCTGAGTCGACCTTGGGGGAAGCCAGCATCGATTCAGGGAATCCAACTCGGCTCTTTGCCGGGGGTTCGTAGGGCAGCGCCACTTTGAGGCACCACGTCACGCGCTCTCGCAAGCTGCAGAGCACCCCCCGTGGGGCAGACGTCGCTAACGGGTTTTCATTCCTTACCCCCCGTACCCGTACCCGGCCGCACCAGGGTCGCAAATGGGTACCCGTACCCGGCTGGGTACGGGTACCCGTTCCCTACCCGTACCTGTACCGTACCCGAAATGAGTGACAAACGGTTACTCACCAGTGACTCACGGTCTACCCGTACCCGGCCGCACCAGGGTCGCAAACGGGTACCCTACCCACTACCCGGCTACCCGTACCCGGCTGGGTATCGGGTACGGGTACCTGATTGCGACCTCTGGGATGAAGCCATGTTGCAGGCGCGGGTGGGTTGATTCTAGGAACTTGAATTGTGAGAAAAGACAAGACGTTGGGAAATGAGTGACAAACGGTGACTCACCAGTGACTCACGGTCTACCCGTATCCGGCCGGATACGGGTAGCCGGGTATTGGGTAGGGTACGGGTATCGGGTACCCGGTTGCGACCTCTGCTGTTGATTGTCTGCTGTACCCTCTGTAGAGCGTGAGTGCATCACTGCGTCTCCGCTTGCGTGCGAGTGTCACGTGGGGGATCGGTGGCACAGCGGTTGACGCACTCTGCCACCAACTCCGTGGACCGTTCGATTCCCGCACCACATGGCCAACACTGGTGACGATTATGTGAACCGTTCCTGGGCCTCCCCTAGGTCGACTTAGACTAAAATTAGTAGCTGGTGTGATCTGTAAGCATTGCCACTAAAGAGACAAAGGTGTGGCGCTGGCCACCCACCCTCGCGTGCCTTCATAGGTGCTGCTACTCGCGAACAGCACTTGCCCCAACAGTCTATTAAGGCTACACGGGGGATCCTTGTCTCGGTCGTGTGTGTGTGTGCGTTGCGTGTAACATGTAATATGTCTGCAGAATCAGTCGCATGGAGAAGAAACCCTGGACAGAGCCCAGCGCTAAAAGGCACGAATGCGAGCGGTGTCCGTACACCACGGATCGCACTGGAAACATGAATCAGCACCTGAGAACTCACACGGGCGAAAAGCCATTCAAGTGCACCGTGTGTGTGAAGGCATTTTCTTCCTCACAAAATCTTAAAATTCATCAGAGAACACACACAGGGGAGAAGCCATTCATGTGCACTGCATGTGGGAAGGCATTTGCTCTCTTACAAACTCTTCAATATCATCAGAGAACACACACAGGGGAGAAGCCATTCATGTGCACTGTGTGTGGGAAGGCATTTGCTCTCTTACAAACTCTTCAATATCATCAGAGAACACACACAGGGGAGAAGCCATTCACGTGCACCGTGTGTGGGAAGGCATTTGCCCGTTCAAACTATCTTCTAGTTCACAAGAGAACGCACACAGGTGAGAAGCCCTTCAAGTGCACTGTGTGTTGGAAGGCATTTGCCTCTTCAAACTACCTTCAAATTCACAAGAGAACACACACGGGTGAGAAGCCCTTCACGTGCACAGAGTGTGGGAAGGGTTTTATTTCGTCAGGAAGCCGAACGATGCATGAGAAGATCCACAAGGAGAGTGTGAAATCGACTCGTGAAGGTCAAAGTTCAGCTGCCATGAGCCCATCATCTCTCATAAAACAAGAACAGGAGGACTACGACGACTTCGCCACGTGGCCGGGAGTGACAGTGAAGTGTGAAGAAGGGACGACCGTGAAACGTGAGGGTCAGGAAGCTTCTCCAGGCACTTGTTAATGTCATCGCAGCATCCCAATGCAGTATTCTCAACACAAATATCTCGAGACTCAAGGAGGCTATTCCGGACAAAATTATTCACGTTATTTTTATGATTATTGTAATCCTCACGTGTGTATATTGAACTTCTTTCGCACAGTACGTAGCCAACCTTGCTATACATCCTAAATAGAATAGGCATCCTATGCAGAGACCGGTGCCTGCCAATAAATGTGTAATTTCCACCCTCGAGGTCCTTCGATTGCGATGAGAACCGTCAAGTGTGTATTTGACAATGGTGACACTTTGATTTCTGTTAAGGAATCAAAACCCGCTTGCGACCTCTGGCACATGTACAAGTGTCAACAGTTGTGAACTCTGACACGTCACGGTTGAACCAGCGGACATTGTTTTTCTATTGGAGGAGCCACAATGGTGTGGACCACTCCCTAAGGCCTCTTGTCCCTCATCTCGCCACTCGTCCAAGCTCCCCCCCAAGCCTCAATTCAAGGAGCGACGGAGCGAGCTTCAACGAGGGGACCTCTCGCTAAGAATGCGATGTCACTGCCTGCCTGGAATGAGCTGGTGGATGGGCTCTGATGTGTCAGTGACTTTTGCCTCGGTGTGAACAAGAGTTGCCCCCCCACTGACCCCCATGGGCAGGACTGCCCGACACTCCGGCAGCTGCCGTGTCCAGCCCAGGTTTTGCCCCGGGGACGGTGAGGATCATTGATCCATGATCATCATCATCATCATCCTCGCCGTCCGGATTGTAATCGTTGATACGATCGGTAGATTCCCATCGTCGTCACCGTCATCGCGTTTCCATTCATCACGTTTCCATTCATCACTGCTGATGTTACGTAACCGACGCATTTACACGTGTGTCCTCAACAGCGCTTCGTGAGCAATAATCGCCAATGCAATTGTACGTTGACAACAAGCTGTATTGGGTTGTGTATCGTTCTGCTTGCAAAAGAGTAATAATGTGTAGCATTTAGCATGAATACATTGGCTATTATCAACATTGGAGAAAATGGCTTGAACATTTTTGAAAATCTTTGCTGTGATCGTTAAAGTTTGAAAAAACATTAACCCGTAAAAACAAAGTTTTTCCACTCTAAATCCTTTATATGCGTGGCGGCTAGAGTCCTCTCGTCCTCTGGCTTGAGATGGCTGCCACCTATGGGTCAGATGATTGTCTGCCAGCATTAAGCAATTGGTAAGTAAATATTTAAAAAAATTTCCCTAAACAGTGTAAAATTTTGGAAAAAAATTTTCACGAAAATTAATTGTCACGCACGAGTCTGTGTGGAAAATGTCAGCTCGATTGGATCACGGGAAGTGGGTTAAAAAACGTCCGAAAGATTTGCACGGTCATAAGCAAGCAAGTAAACTTAATATAAAGGATTTTAAAAAAGTAATTTGTAAAGATGTTTTTGCATTTCAGGGTTTATTTGGATGGGTGCTACAGTGCAAACAAGTCTGTGCTGGTTGGGAGACGTGAAATAATGTCAAAGTTTTGGCCACGGGGGTTTGTTCAAATAGTTGTTTTTGTAAAATATTTTATTTACGTGAAATTTCTTGTGAGTATTTGGTTTGTCCCACAGTGCAAACACAAATTAAATTTGCACGAGGTCACGTGGCCTGCTTGTTGCACTAGTGACCCACTAGTTTAGAGTTTTATTTTACGAAAAAAAAGTTTCGTTGTATTTTTTTATTTTTTTTACAAATAAACATTACGACTGTTTAGAATTATGACGGTTAACCGAAGTGGTTTTCGTCGCTCGTAACCGTCTGTATTTGCTACTTACAGCTGCAACATTATTTTGTCTTCGCGTGGGTTGACCGTCTGATCGCGTGGTGCAGAATTTGTCTTGAAAGGGGGGAAAAGTCAATCGACAATTTTTAAACAAACCAACAATATCAATTGCACCTCAAAGCAATGGCATATGCACCATAAACTCTTCCTGAGATTCGGAATCTGCGTCTCCTAAATTCTAGAAATATCAAATGATACAGCAACCCATGGTTTGATAGCTTGGGTTACGGTGTACATTCTAATTTGTTCTTTGGGGGTGGCCAATTTGATCGTCCGTATTTACGTATTTGCAGCAATATATCTCAAGCAGCCATGGCTTGGTTAAGTAACACTGGTCAACAACAAAACAAACTTTGTTTTCTGGCCTGGACTTTTGCAGCTGTTCTAGACTAATTTGCCGATTCCAAATCTGATCTCAGATTTGCTCCATCACATCTCATTTTATGCTATCGGCATACCCCATTTTCATTGATTTTACCCGAAGTTAACTCTGTCACTTATGATTGCAAGTTGTTGCGAGTCAGTGACTGCTTTAGTGTTAAAATATGGTGCTGTATTTTTAGCAGAGTGTGTTGATAATATCATTTTATGTAGATATCCACATTTATTTAATATTTTTCTTCCGCAGTTTTTATTGAAAATGCAATATTTGATATCTCAAAAACCTCACGTGATAGACAAAAACTGATGCCAGATTTGGAATCAGCACCCCAAAATTACCTTAGAAACCTTTTCGACTTAAAGCTTTCGTGACTGCAGGGATTCATCTTCTTGGTTCTTTCGGTAAAGTCACGTAGAAGGGAAATAATAAAAAAAACATAATAAAATACAATGCTCACGACGTTATATATATGCTTTTATGAATAAAGTGTATTAACATACCTTATCATTTATTACATTTAAAAAAATAATACAATTCTCACGACGTTTCGGCCACAACGCTGCAGCGTCTGAATGAACACCACCAAGCTTGGCAGCGTATATATTGCTGCCAAGCCTGGTGGTGTTCATTCAGATGCTGTCTTTCCGACAGACCTGTTCTTCACCTGAGGACGGCTGCTTGCGTTGTGGCCGAAACGTCGTGAGAATTGTACTATTTAATTGTTATAATTTTTCTTATTTTTTTATTATGTAATAAATGATAAGGTATGTAAATACACTTCATTCATAAATTGCATAGAGACAGTCTCCATGTATATATTGTTTTACTTGCCCATCTGCCTACGACATAAACGTACGAATTGTCCCTCTGACAATCGCACGGCAGATGGGGCACTTGCCCAGAGAGACGGCGCAGTCCTGACACACGACGAGATGCCCGCACGGCACGAACACAACGGACACGTCCTTGTCCATGCACACCTTGCACGTGTGCTGTTCCTGTAGCCGCTTGAGCTCCTGTTCCAGCAGCAGCGCTACCACGGAGAGCACACAAGTACGCACACTTTCAGCTTTTCACAAACGATGGTTGATCATTAAGAGCCTACGTGCATATTAATGACGACGACTAATAGCAACTGTAAAGTAACTTGGAATAATACCGACGATCCAATGACAGGGCTACATTGTTGGTAAATCAATTCTCGAGATTAATTACATAACCATCATAAATGTATTTGTATAATCTTAATTTTGGAGCTTTCGTGACTGCAGGAATTATTCTTTGGTTCTTTCGGTAAAGTCACGTATAAAGATAAAATAATAAATTAAATAATTGCATACGACATTTCGATTGCAACACAAGCAATCATCAGGTATAAAAGAAATAGCGACATAAAATCTAACCAGAAAACTATAGACAGACATATAAGCAGCCAGATATCACAAAGATACACAGAGAGAGAACAATTCTTGAGATTTGTGTTGCTATTTCTTTTATACCTGATGATGATTGCTTGTGTTGCAATCGAAACGTCGCATTATGCTATTATTCAATTTATTATTTTATCTTTAAACGTGACTTTACCGAAAGAACCAAAGAATGTATTTGTATAATTTCTGGAATGGAATATTTACATTCTTCATTTTTTAGTTCCTTTTTCTCAGCAGCAGCAGCAGCAGGCTTCTGTTGTTCTGTTGAAGATACATCCACACGGCACGTTCAACATAGGCAATCACAACCATGTTCGCATAAAGCTGAGCCGAGTACTGGTTTTCAGTATGGTATATTACACTGGTCAACACACTTTTTCTGGCATAAGGTATTCCAACGGCTGTAATGTAATTTTGGGGCGCTGCTGATTCCAAATCTGGCATCAGTTTGTGTCTATCACGTCAGGTTTTTGAGATATAAAATATTGCATTTTCAATGAAAACTGCAGAAGAAAAATATTAAATAGATGTGGATATCTACATAAAATGATATTATCAACACACTATCCTAAAAATACAGCACCATATTTTAACACTAAAGCAGTCACTGACTCGCAACAACTTGCAATCATAAGTGACAGAGTTAATTTCGGGTATAATCAATGAAAATGGGGTATGCCGATAACATAAAAATGAGATGTGATGGAGCAAATTTGAGATCAGATTTGGAATCAGCACCCTGGAATTAGTCTAGAACAGCTGCAAAAGTCCAGGCCAGAATTTTTTTTTGTTGTTGTTGACCAGTGTTATCTATAATACAATTATGCCTTGACATACCTATCTGATCAATCAAAAACACGACAACCGTTCGCCTGCTATGATGTGTACCACACAATGACTATCCGTATTTTCCTCAATTTAATCAGCAACAAAATTACAGGCAAATGGAAATTGCAAGTTCAGTTTCTGTTGCTGAGTATGTACCCTGAACGTAATTTGCGGATTTCTTCGGGGATTCTTCTTCTGCATTAAGCAGGTCTTTGACGAGCTCAACGACAGAGCTGTACGTCTCCCCCTTAGTGAGGTAGCGAGTGCGCACCAGAGATTCCACCACCGGTGCAAGGAAGCCCATCTCAAGCACACCCTTGACCACATCGCTCTTCATCAAGGTCTCATCAGCGCAGCCGATGCCTGCACGCAAAGACGACGCTTGCAAAAACATGCAATTAGCGGATTTAAAAAAAACGACCAAACATTAAACGTGCACTTTGGATAAAGAGTTCAAATGTGTTGTAAGGATAGCCTTGTGAGATGCACAGATGTACACATTTTGGCACAAATGAATATAAAAACATGACAATCCTGTTGTGTACAAAAATATATCACCTTACCATTCACATCTTGTGCTGCTGCATTCTGTGATCTCTGTCTGAATACCTCATCCTAAAAAAGCAGGATCTTGTCAATTAAAAGCATTTGGATCACTGGTGTTACACAAATAAAAATATATATAAATGGTACAAGCCATGCTTTCTAAAAGTAAAAATCACAACTTTGCCCGTTATTCTCGGCTCTATTTACAATGAAGCATATTGGTAACCAACCAAATATTGTATATTCTTACACTGAGTGATTTACAGCATTTCTGTTGCATGTGTAGTGACATAAGAAGGGAGGGGCTGCTGGGGGCTCTGGGATCCCAGGCGAGTCCAGACGCTTAAGCCTCTGGGCGCCAGGCGCTGGGTTCCCAGGGGGTCCAGACGCTTAAGCCTCTGGGCGCCAGGCGTTGAGTTCCCAGGCGCTTAATCCCCTGGGCGCCGCCAACGGGGGGGGGGCTGTGTGTGCTCTGTGGGATGTCTGGTGGCGCACACGGCCCCACCCCTCGTTGGACTAGGCATAAAAGGAGAGCTCCCTGGACGATCGGGGCCCAGTTGTAACTCAAGACCCAAGACCCACGACCAGCCATCGGAAGACCCTGGGATGCTGTGAGAGCCAGTGGTGGGACTCTGGAACTCCCGACTCTACGACCTTCCAGAGCGTAGCCAGAGTAGAGTATCTAGGCTGTGTAGCTAGGCTGTGTACCTAGGCTGTAACAGAGTATCAGGACTGTTGGAGAGTTGAAAGGTTGGAGTGTTGTATTGTAATAAAGAAGTTACCTCTACAAGTGTCTCCGGAACCCGTTACACATGCTTAGTTTAATATTCTTGGTTCTTTCGGTAAAGTCACGTACAAGGGAAATAATAAAATAATAAAAATAAAACAATAACATTCTCACGGCGTTTCGGCCACAATGCAAGCAGCCGTCCTCAGGTGAAGAACAGCTGTCGGAAAGACAGCGTCCTAATGAACACCGCTAAGCTTGGCAGGGTATTTAAGCTGGGTGGGAGGAGGAGAGCGCCTTGACAAAGGAGTTTACATATCAACAGGGGAATTTAGCATGATAACAAATGCAGACATGGGGTGAGTCACTCCTTGTGGAATGTGTAGGCGGTAGGGGGTCTCAAAGTCATATTGTGCTCGTAGTGTATTATGTAGGATTAGCAGTAATAAAGGGAGGGAAGTTTTACTAAAGGTACTGCTTAGTTTAACTTTAGGCTATTTTGTTTAACAGCTGAGAACTCATTGGCCTAGGTCACCAAAATGACAAAAGCAATCGCGTAAATGACATACATCGAAGCCAATAGAAATCAGAACCGAATTAATAAATTGAAATCAGCGCAAAACAATGACACACCAAAAGCTTCAAAATAACAAACAGAATTCAGAGCAAACCCAATCACCTAAAACATTTTTTTTAAAATACCGTATAAACATAAATCTACATCAACTACAAGAAACGAAAGTTGGCTCAGACAAATGTATTTTTACTACATTTAAGGCCAACGGGAACTGTGTTTTTAATGTAAGTACATTATATAATACTCAACAAAACAAGTGTACATTACCATAAGTTCTGACAACCGTGGATGCTGCATCATTATTTCATTAACGAAAGCTTCACCCTTCTGTTGTAAAAGAAATGCACATCTGTAGAGAACATAGCAGAGATGTCAGCAAAGCAGTCGTCATTTGCGATTCAACATCAAAGTGTGTTCACTTCAAGCCCCTTGTCAGCTCTGACAGCCATCGTGTTGCTCGAGTATGTGAAGTGTCTATCTGGTAATTGTTTTTTTACCCTTCTATCTGGCAACAAAACTGACACCTTTTCTACAAGGAGTCATGTTTGCATAGACCACAATACCTGCAGTCATAATGCAAAAAAAACACAACTCTGATAATGTACGCACTGTCCTTGAAGTTGATTGGTCCACACCCGAGACAGCTTTCCTTAGAGCCTAGTCTCACATGGGTTGGACCAGATGACACCAAAAGGCGCACAACTCAAAGACAGAGTATGAGAATTCGGGGTAAGCATTTACACCTTTGGAACCTCATTTGCCAGTAGCAAAATATAATTGTTTTTTTTTAAAGATGTCAGTTTTGTTGTCAGATAGAAGGGTAAAAAAAACAATTATCATATTTTTTACTGGCAAATGAGGTTCCAATGGTGTCCATCTGGTACTGACGTCACCGCACAGCAGGTGACATCAGCAGGTGCTGAGTGCGTTACCTGGGAAACCACTTGCCATGTTCATACCAAGGGTTGTCTCCTCGTTCCCAGCTGCGTAAGCCACCGTCACAGTGGAAGCACTTCACATTGTCTCCATCACCTAACGAACACGCACACGTTATTGCTGTACCAGAGGTCGCAACCGGGTACCCGATACCCGTACCCTACCCGATACCCGGCTACCCGTACCCGGCCGGGTACGGGTACCCGTTTGCGACCCTGGTGCGGCCGGGTACGGGTATGGGTAAGGAATCAAAACCCGTTTGCGACCTCTGCCGTGGGACCGCCAGCGGCGCCGTCCACAGGCGAGCCAGAGAGGACAGAACGACCGCCACCCGCTTCTTCTCCTCCCCGTTCCATCTTCTTCCCGGGAGGGGCGGCACCCGTTGGGCCATTTGACAGTCATCCCCAGGAAGCAGAGGTCGCAAACTGCTTTTGATTCCTTACCCGTACCCGGCCGCACCAGGGTCGCAAATGGGTACCCTTACCCTACCCGATACCTGGCTACCCGTACCCGGGCCGGGTATCGGGGAGGATACGAGGATGGGTACCCGATTGCGACCTCTGGGATGAAGCCATGTTGCAGGCGCGGGTGGGTTGATTCTAGGAACTTGAATTGTGAGAAGAGACAAGACGTTGTGAAATGAGTAACAAACGGTGACTCACCAGTGACTCGCGGCCTACCCGTACCCATACCAGGCCGCACCAGGGTCGCAAACGGCTACCCGTACCCGGCCGGGTACGGGTAGCCGGGTATCGGGTAGGGTACGGGTATCGGGTAGGGTACAGGTATCGGGTACCCGGTTGCGACCTCTGCCAGGAAGCCCATTCTTGCCCCGCCTGGGGGCTCGGCGATGAGGACCCGTTCCAAAACTGTTCGGTTCAAATAACCCACCCCTTCCCGTCGTCCTGTTTACTCCAACACCGTCTGGCGGGTAGTTGCAGACGCGAGCCGGGCCGTGGCTGTCGCTTGAACCGAGGTCCTTCCCGTGTTCACAGGCTGCGGCATGCTGACGGTCGTTTTGTATATTCTTGGTGGCCGGGTTATTGGCGTGCGTACGCGATTATTTTTTTATCGTTCCGGTTATTAATTGTTATTGTTAATTAGCTCGCGAGTGGGACGATGGTTGCTGCTGCTGTTGTTGTGTTCATTGTCCTGCTACGCGAGGTGTGGAGGTCAGCCGGGACGGCTGTTTTTTTCACAGGGGGGGGGGGGGGGGGTGATGTAATAACATGGAATGGGTCGCTACGGCGGGTAGCGCTGTTTGCTGGCAGGGAAGGGGGTCTTGACCTTTGGTTTAAAAAAAAAGGTTAGGACCACACATTTACACCTCACAGAGAATGCTCTTGCCATACCGGTGTAATAGAAGCCAGCAATTGCGAGTGAATGGGCAGCTACATTGGCAGTGGATGGCCAGGCCTGGTAGGTTGCAAGCCGGGCCACCATCAAATGCATTTTTGGATTTCTGGCCCGCGTCCTCGCCATAGGAGATGCAGAACGCGCACGGCTTTGAGTGTCCGGCAAAAATGAGGCCTGCTAGAAAAGCACCCGAAAAAGAACAGAATTACTCATCAAATGTAACGTTCTTCTTGACGTTCAGTACTTTTTGTCAAGAAATGTCATCTATATTCTTGGGTTTTTTCGGTAAAGTCACGTAGGTAAAATTTTTTAATTAAAATAAAAATCACGACGTTTCGGAGGCAACACAAGCCTCCGTCTTCAGGTGGAACCGTCACAGCACGATAGCTGTTTTAATTTTATTTTTTTTCACTTGATACAGCAAGCGTGCTGTGACGGTTCCACCTGAAGACGGAGGCTTGTGTTGCCTCCGAAACGTCGTGATTTTTATTTTATTTTTTACCTACGTGACTTTACCGAAAAAACCCAAGAATATGAATCCTTGCAGTCACGAAAGCTTCAAATCTAGAAATGTCATCTAGATTCAACAAAGTACAGGGTGATCCCCTTATAAAAACCCCACTAAATAGTATGGAGAAATTCCTTTAACACTCTCCTCTGTAAGGTACGGAGGCATGGCTATCACAATATTCACTGACGTGTTGGGAAAAGAGTTATAAAAAATCAGTAGGGTGCCTATAAACACAAAGCAAGACATGCCCCAAATGTCGTGGTCATTTTGAAGGATAAATGTAAAAGACATGCTGGGTAATGCAAAGTAAGGTATTGACCGTGCCCGGTGCCAATAAAAGTATTGAGATCTGGTTACACATGATTCAAGTGGCCATGGCAGAAATAAAGGCCACATACCTAATTACAAAATGCACCCTCAACGTATTGCTTTTAAGTACAGGAAAGATAGTGCATCTTATAACGCAGAGAATATGGTTATAGGCAAACATCTTTAATTAATTGAGAAGCATCCACATAAATATGCTAAATTCCTCTTGATATGCAAATTCCTTTGTCAAGGCGCTCTTCCCCCTCCAACCCAGCTTAAATATACGCTGCCAAGCCTGGTGGTGTTTCATTCAGACGCTGTCTTCCCGACAGACCTGCTCTTCACCTGAGGACGGCTGCTTGCGTTGTGGCCGAAACGTCGTGAGAATTATTTCATTATGTTTAATTTTTATTATTTTCCTTCCACGTGGTGACTTTACCGAAAGAACCAAGAAGAAGAAGACATCCACAAGACCATTTAGCAACACCCACCTGGGCCTGAGCGAGTGGGATGTTACCGGTGTCGCTGCAGCCCATCACGAAAGCACAGGTGGAGAAATGTCGCTGGTGCTCCTTGACAGGGACATCTCCCTCCTCCCAGTGAGACATGACGCCGCAGCAATAGAAGCACCTCACCCGGTCGCTGGGACCCAAGTAGTACAGTCCGGCCCGTGCCAAGTCCGCCGGCCGGACAGGAGATGACTCTGGCCACGTGGAGAATGACAGCAGCCTGTTTGCTTCGACGCACATCTCTGAATTCGATGGTGCCCCTGCCTCCACGTGTGGCAAGGAAGTTGGAGAGTTTTGCAGAGGTGGTTCGTTCAGAGAGTGATGATGGGTGATTTCGGATGCGTTGTTGGTAGCCGCCACCACATGTCTTGGTACAGATGCTCCAGCGGAGGTCTGAGCATCTGTAGCTTGTGCCAACGACCGAGCAAATGTACAATTTGGAAAACTCTGCAAATGCTTTGCAATGGCCGAGTCACCTGACTTCCAATTACCGATCACTCCTTTGCACGAGAAGCATTCCACCTTGTCTTCCTTTCCAGTGTAGAAAAATCCAGCTTTGACCAGGTCCTGTATCAGTGGCTCTAAGTTTGATGGGCAATTGACAAACCGGCCAAGGCGATACATGCGTTTTGAAAGGTCGTCGATGGAAAATGCCATGCCTCCTTTCTTCACTTTGAGAACTCCTAAACATGGAAAACAAGTAAATAAAACAGATATGATCATTGTTTTTTTACCCTTCTATCTGGCAACAAAACTGACACCTTTTTTACAAGGAGTCATGTTTGCATAGACCACAATACCTGCAGTCATAATGCAAACAAAAAAACACAACTCTGATAATGTATGCACTGTCCTTGAAGTTGATTGGCCCACACCCGAGACAGCTTTCCTTAGAGCCTAGTCTCACATGGGTTGGACCAAACGACACCAAAAGGCGTACAACTCAAAGACAATGCACCATCAGAGTATGAGAGCTCGGGGTAAGTATTTACACCATTGGAACCTCATTTGCCAGTAAAAAATATAATTGTTTTTTTTTACTGGCAAATGAGGTTCCAATGCCAAAAGGCGTCATCTGGTCCAACCAGATGACGCCTTTATATTATCAGAGTTATGTTTTTTGTTTGCATTATGGCTGCAGGTATTGTGGTCTATGCAAACATGACTCCTTGTAAAACAAGTTGCAGGTTTGTTGCCAGATAGAAGGGTAAAAAAACAATTATCATATTTTTTACTGGCAAATGCGGTTCCAATGGTGTAAAACAGATATGTTTCAGTCACTTTAAATATTTTGTTTTCCCATAATTGTTTCCGTGGTTTCTGTAAGGCTTTGAGTGCTACCCTTTATAACTCAACCTGCTAAACGTTTACAAAAAATAAACAATCAATATCACCACCTAAAAATGAAATATACGGGGTGATATTTATTTAATAAATCACAAAGGGTAATTTAATATACTTTAACAAATGTTCAAACTGAATTCCATTAACGTTAATGCACGCATGAATTCTGTTTCGAAAAGAATTTAGGATTCTTTTTAAGATTACAGGAGTAATATTTGAACATTCATTAATTACACTGGTCAACAACAACAAAACATTTTTTTCTGGCCTGGACTTTTGCAGCTGTTCTAGACTAATTTCAGGGTGCCGATTCCAAATCTGATCTCAGATTTGCTCCATCACATCTCATTTTTATGCTATCGGCATACCCCGTTTTCATTGATTTTACCCGAAATTAACTCTGTCACTTATGATTGCAAGTTGTTGCGAGTCAGTGACTGCTTTAGTGTTAAAATACGGTGCTGTATTTTTAGGATGGTGTGTTGATAATATAATTTTATATGTAATATTTCTCTTCCGCAGTTTTTATCGAAAATGCAATATTTGATATCTCAAAAACCTGCTGTGATAGACAAAAACTGATGCCAGATTTGGAATCAGCAGCGCCCCAAAATTACATTACAGCCGTTGGAATACCTCATGCCAGAACAACAAGTGTGTTGACAAGTGATATGTTGTCTCACACACACAGACACACACCACACACAGACACACAGTCACACACCACACCACAGTCACACACCACACACACAGACACACACACAGTCACACACACAGTCACACACACCACACACAGACACACAGTCACACACCACACACACAGTCAGCACACACCACACACACAGTCACCACCACACACACAGACACACAGTCACACACACACCACACACACAGTCACACACACAGACACACAGCCCACGTGTGCGACCCACTAGGCCCAAACTCCACGCTGAGCGAAGCGTCGATGTCCGTGTGTGTGCACAACGTGGGACTGTTGTTGTTGTGGTTGTTGTTTCTGCTGCTGCTGTTGTTACACCTCCCAGCGAGGTCTATCGTCTCTCTCTTCTCGTCTCACGGTTTCCTTCACGAGTCGCTGGGAATTCCCCGAAGTCCTCTGCCGCCCGTTGTTGTTTCAGTGGCAGGAGACATCTTCCGGAAGACGCGGTGGATTCGGTCTTCTGAGTGGATGAGTGAGCGGGTGAGTGGGTGGGTGAGTGAGTGATGGTGGTGAGTGGTGGGTGAGTGAGTGGTGAGTGAGTGGTGGAGTGAGTGAGTGGGTGGGTGAGTGAGCGGGTAGTGGTGGGTGAGCGAGTGAGTGGGTGGGTGAGTGAGTGAGTGGGGTGAGTGAGTGAGTGGGTGGTGGGTGTGAGTGAGTGGGTGGTGGGTGAGTGGGTGGTGGGTGAGTGGTGGGTGAGTGAGTGGTGGTAGTGGGTGGGTGAGTGGTGGGTGTGAGTGGGTGAGTGAGTGAGTGGGTGGGTGAGTGAGTGGGTGAGTGAGCGGGTGAGTGGGTGGGTGAGTGAGTGAGTGGTGAGTGGTGAGTGGGTGAGTGGGTGGGTGAGTGAGTGGGTGGGTGGTGGGTGAGTGGTGGGTGGTGGGTGGGTGGGAGTGGGTGGTGTGAGTGAGTGAGTGGGTGAGTGAGTGAGTGAGTGGGTGAGTGAGTGAGTGAGTGGGTGGGTGAGTGAGTGGGTGAGTGGGTGGGTGAGTGAGTGGGTGAGTGAGTGAGTGAGTGGGTGGGTGGGTGGGTGAGTGGGTGGGTGAGTGAGTGGGTGAGTGAGCGGGTGAGTGGGTGGGTGAGTGAGTGGTGGTGAGTGAGTGAGTGGGTGAGTGGGTGGGTGAGTGAGTGAGTGAGTGAGTGAGTGGGTGAGTGGGTGGGTGGGTGAGTGGGTGGGTGAGTGAGTGAGTGGTGAGTGAGTGAGTGAGTGGGTGAGTGAGTGGGTGGGTGGGTGGGTGATGGTGGGTGGGTGGTGAGTGGGTGAGTGAGCGGGTGAGTGAGTGAGTGAGTGGGTGAGTGGGTGGGTGGGTGAGTGGGTGGGTGAGTGAGTGAGTGGGTGAGTGAGTGAGTGAGCGGGAGTGAGTGAGTGAGTGGGTGAGTGAGTGAGTGGGTAAGTGGGTGGGTGGGTGGGTGAGTGGGTGAGGGAGTGAGCAGGTGAGTGAGTGAGCGGGCGAGTGAGTGGGTGAGTGAGTGGGTGGGTGGGTGGGTGAGTGGGTGGGTGGTGGTGGGTGAGTGGGTGGGTGGGTGGGTGAGTGGGTGGGTGATGAGTGGGTGAGTGGATGAGTGAGCGGGTGAGTGGGTGGGTGAGCGGGTGAGTGGGTGGGTGAGTGGGTGGGTGGGTGAGTGGGGTGGGTGAGTGAGTGAGTGAGCGGGTGAGTGAGTGAGTGGGTGAGTGAGCGAGTGAGTGGGTGGGTGGAGCGGGTGAGTGAGTGAGTGGCGGGTGAGTGAGTGAGCGTGGTGGGTGAGTAAGTGGTGGGTGAGTGAGTGGGTGGGTGAGTGAGTGGGTGAGTGAGAGAGCGGGTGGGTGGGTGGGTGGGTGAGTGAGTGAGTGAGTGGGTGGGTGGGTGAGTGGGTGAGCGGATGAGTGGGCGGGTGAGTGAGTGAGTGAATAAGTGAGTGGGTGAGTGAGTGAGTGGGTGAGTGGGTGGGTGGGTGGGTGAGTGGGTGGGTGGGTGGGTGGGTGAGTGAGTGAGTGAGTGGGTGAGTGAGTGAGTGAGTGGGTGGGTGGGTGAGTGGTGAGCGGATGAGTGGGCGGGTGAGTGAGTGAGTGAATAAGTGAGCGGGTGAGTGAGTGGGTGAGTGAGTGGGTGGGTGGGTGGGTGAGTGGGTGGGTGGGTGGGTGAGTGGGTGGGTGGGGGTGGGGTGAGTGGGTGGGTGAGTGAGTGGGTGAGTGAGTGGATGAGTGAGCGGGTGAGTGGGCGGGTGAGCGGGTGAGTGGGTGGGTGAGTGGGTGGGTGGGTGAGTGGGTGGGTGAGTGAGTGAGTGAGCGGGTGAGTGAGTGGGTGGGTGAGTGAGTGGGTGAGTGAGTGAGCGGGTGAGTGAGTGAGTGGGTGAGTGAGCGAGTGAGTGGGTGGGTGAGCGGGTGAGTGAGTGAGTGAGTGGGCGGGTGAGTGAGTGAGCGTGTGGGTGAGTAAGTGGTGGGTGAGTGAGTGGGTGGGTGAGTGAGTGGGTGAGTGAGAGAGCGGGTGGGTGGGTGGGTGGGTGAGTGAGTGAGTGAGTGGGTGAGTGAGTGAGTGGGTGGGTGGGTGAGCGGGTGAGCGGATGAGTGGGCGGGTGAGTGAGTGAGTGAATAAGTGAGTGGGTGAGTGAGTGAGTGGGTGAGTGTGCGGGTGAGTGGGTGAGTGAGCATGTGGGTGAGTGGATGGGTGAGTGAGTGGGTGGGTGGGTGGGTGAGTGGGTGGGTGAGTGAGTGGGTGAGTGAGTGGATGAGTGAGCGGGTGAGTGGGTGGGTGAGCGGGTGAGTGGGTGGGTGAGTGGGTGGGTGGGTGGGTGAGTGAGTGAGTGAGTGAGCGAGTGAGTGAGTGAGTGGGTGGGTGAGTGAGGGGGTGGGTGAGTGAGTGAGTGGGTGAGTGAGTGGGTGGGTGAGCGAGTGAGTGGGTGGGTGAGCGGGTGAGTGAGTGAGTGAGTGGGCGGGTGAGTGAGTGAGCGTGTGGGTGAGTAAGTGGTGGGTGAGTGAGTGGGTGGGTGAGTGAGTGGGTGAGTGAGAGAGCGGGTGGGTGGGTGGGTGGGTGGGTGGGTGAGTGAGTGAGTGAGTGGGTGAGTGAGTGAGTGAGTGGGTGGGTGGGTGAGTGGGTGAGCGGATGAGTGGGCGGGTGAGTGAGTGAGTGAATAAGTGAGTGGGTGAGTGGGTGAGTGAGTGAGTGGGTGAGTGGGCGGGTGAGTGGGTGAGTGAGCATGTGGGTGAGTGGATGGGTGAGTGAGTGGGTGGGTGAGTGGGCGGGTGAGTGGGTGGGTGAGTGAGTGGGTGGGTGAGTGGGTGGGTGAGTGAGTGGGTGGGTGAGCAGATGAGTGAGTGAGTGGGCGGGTGAGTGGGTG